GCAAGACTATCAGGAATTGGATTCTAGGGGCTACTATAAAGACAACCTATCACAAAACAAGGCAATTATCAGACCTCAATGGTTATGCTCTTAGACAGGTGTTGTGAAGTCATAAACAACTAAAGTCAAATACAACTACTATATTTCTTTGTCAAGAAAAAGATCAGATACAAAACACAAAAATGTAATAGCAGAATTTTAATTAAAATAGTAGTGAAATTTGGATCAACGGGTCTTCTAAAAGAAAACCTAGGTAATGACATGAACATAAACCAGGGAATATGAATGGAAGAAAGCAGAGAATCTCAGGAGTGACTGGTACTGGAGTTTCTGCTGTAAAATGCTAAGTATACTAATGCATGATGTATATTTGGGGGACAAAAAGAAAGCATGATAATAAGGGCTAGAATACGGTCTCATAATACTTCCAGGGAGTGTGAAGCGAGGCTGCTTCCAGCCTACAAAGGAATAAAGGTAAAGGGAAGGTGTCATCTCCCCTGAATAGGGATCCTAACAAAAGGCTTCAAAAGGACTCTGCATCTTTAATAATATAAAAAGGCTAGGGCACAAACAGCATCATCTAAAATGCCATTAGAAATGCTTCACATACAAAAAGGTCTAAGTAAAGCAGGGTTTTATAAAGTGATCAAAAAAGAAACACTAAGGGGGAAAATCTTTTAAGATTAAAGAGGTTTTTCAAAGGACAAGTTGAAGTGGCTGTAAAATTTATGAGGCAGCATTAAACTTCAGTTCTAAGTAACAATAAATTATTCACTATAAAAACATACATGTGTCAAATATTATAAGCCTCTTAAACTTTTTAAAACAATTCTTACAGAAGTTATTAGATGTAGTAGGTCAACATTAACAGATACCAACTTCTTCGTTAGCACAGTATGACCACTTAGAGAAAAGAAGCCAGCTTAGAGAGAAGAATGAAAGTGGGGCTTTGGTGGGTTACTCAGTGACATGGTGAGCTGAATCATATGCAAGGTCTGCCTTAAGTCAATCTTTGTAACTTTAGCTAAAATAATGTTAGTTTTATCTTTTAAATGTCTCCATGTAAAATGACAAATAGCTGTTAAGTAAAATACTTGTGGATTAAAGCTTAAATAAAACCTAAATTTTAAAACAAATCAAGTCATAATTATTAAAGGAGTATGAAATATCCTGAGAAGGGTTTTATGACCCTAACTGACCATCAGCCTCGTGTCATTGAGCTGAACAGAAAGACCTTTAGATGTGTCCTTGCCTGTTCCTCCAGTGTCATTCTCACAGAGTGTAGGCTCCTCTACAGTGCATGACCATGTTCCCTCCAATGTCATGTCTCACAGAGCGTAGACACCTCTACAGTGCATGGCCATCTTCCCTCCAATGTCATATCTCACGGTGTATAGACTCCTACAGTGCATGATCATGTTCTCTCTAAAACTGCCTTCCCTCAACATTCTCTAAAAGTTCAATTCAAAAATTCTTTTGAACTACTACCTCTGCCACAATACACCTACCTTAGAAAGTCTTTGTAGGCAGTAAATTAAATATGTAGCAGTGACTAACAATCTTCCCTAACCACACATATACTCAACTGAATATAAGGACTTAAGAAATTTTCAACATGCTTGCATCTGCTAGGAGGAACTGAAAATAAATTGCAAATATGAAAAATACAATTCCTACCTCATGAAATTAGAATCTAACAGAAAAGCCAGAGATTACACATTTGCAAACATGATGACTGTGACAGAAAAACATGGCGTCCCATAAGGAGAAGTGACAGGGCCACCTGGATGGACTTGGGTGTCAGTCTTTTGTCTGGAAGATGGGTGGGACTGATGAGAGCCATCACACAGTCAGTTCTTCACATTGCTTATCATTTAATCAATAACTAACACCTTGTAATCAAGTAACTATTTTTCATTAAAATTCATTTGATTATAGATAGTGGTGATGGCTTATTTTCACTATTAGGTGGATGAGATTTGGAATACGCAGGAGATACAATTCTGGGCATATCTGTAAGAATATTTCCAGAGAAACTTAACTAGAGAAGGAAGCTCCACCTGAATGTGGGCAGTACATCCATGGGCTGGGGTGTTGAGCTGAGTGAAAAGGGAAAGTGGGAAGCCGGGTGGGCACCAGCATTCATCTTCCTTCGTTCCATGACTGCAGGCACAATGTGACCAGGCGCTTGCTACCACGCCTAGCCTGAAATGATGAACTCTGTTCCCTCAAAGTGTGATCTAGAACAAGCCCTCCCTCCTTAGATTGTCTTTATCAAATATTTTGTCCCTATAATAGGGAAAAAAAAGATAGATAACACAGTGAACACCTTTTGTTTTGTTTTTTGAGACAGGGTTTCTCTGTATAGCCCTAGCTATCCTGGAACTCACTCTGTAGACCAGGCTAGCCTCCAGCTCACAGAGATCCGCCTGCCTCTGCCTCCTGAGTGCTAGGATTAAAGGCGTGTGCCACCACCACCCAGTCAACAAATTATTTTTAATGTGTGAACTTTATTATGTTTTCCTTTTCCAGTAAAGTGACTGGGTGACATGTAAATATTGTTTCCACTGAGGTTGGAAAGATAATTCATCAGTTTAGAGTTCTTGCTGGTCTTCCAGGGGACTCAGTTTGGATCCCAGCACCCAAGTTAGATGGCGCACAACTGCATGTAACTCCAGCTCCGAGGAATCCATCTCCCTCTTCTGGAGTCCAGGGTAACCCCATACACATTATATATTCAACACAGATACACACATATAAACATAAATAAAAATAAAAACCGAATCTATTTTTCAAAGAAGAATATTTTCACTGTATTTTTCTAAAACTTTATCTTGTGGTCCAAAGAAGAAAATGTCCATTCAGCTAGACTCCTGCTAACATCACACATTTCCTGTCCTGAATCCTTTTATGCACACTTTAATCTTCACAAGTATTTGCAAAATCCCATATGACTAGTGCACCAAAACTATCTGTGGACTTCTCTCATGTAAAGCAAGTTATAAATTATATCCAGGCAGCTTAAGCAGGCAACAGAAAAGTGATTATGTTGCCTAATTTTGTACTTTCTTTCTTGAATTATTTGATTCCTCAAATGCATCCTTCTTCTCTGCACTTTTGATACAATATTAACAAAGAAAAACACTTTAAAGACTATTTAAAGAAAAAAGGTCCATGTTCACTAATACATGTAAATAATGAAATTCACTAACAGCATACTACAGTAACAGAGTAACCTACTATAACTATCTATAACCTATGAACCCATGGCTAGCTTACAAAAAGATTACCAGGTTTTCATATTTTTAGGAGGAGCAAGAAAACTGACTGCTAATTTTGACAAATTCTTCAAAACCACTGTTAAAGACAGCACTGTGCAAGGGAAGCAAAACCAGTCTGCTCAGGTCACTGACTCTGTCTAAGAAGATTTACAGTTTTCAACCAACGGTCAAGGGCGAAGACAGACTTTAATTTTAGTGCCCTCTCAGACCACAAACTCAAGGTTCATGACACCATTATACTTAGAAAGGAGCCCAAATTTTAGCTGAACTGTTCTTTAAAGAGAGGTCTCATGTAATCCAAGTTGGTCTCAAACTTGCTATGTAGCTAAGGATGACCTTGAACTTTCTGATCCTCCTGCCTCCACCTCCCTGGTGTTAGGACTAAAAGCATATACTGCTATGATCAGGTTATGCAGTGCTGGGGATCAAACCCAGAGTTTCATGCATGCTAGGTAACCATTCAACTAAGAAACATCCCTAGCCCCTAGCTCAAGTCTTAATACAAATTTTAGCAAACAATGCCTAGATTTTACAGTCAAACAAGCCATTATATTTCTCATCATTTACAGAACACAATCTCTCTTCCACAATGCCATTTAGCTGCTAAGAGGCTAAAAATTATTCTGTAACTTTACCTCTTATTTTAATTCTCTATGGATATAAAAATAAGCATTAACACCATCTAATACAACTCATTCATTCACTTCTTACTCCTTTAAATATATCATTAAAGCTATCATATCTTCCTTCACTTTTTCTCCATTCTAATTTGTTTCCTCTTTCTAATAAAACTATTTCATGGACTCATTAGTTTGTGTTCAACTGTTCTTTCCCATCATGATATCTCAAATCTGAAAGACACACAACCTGACCACATCTATAATGGATTCTAATTACTAATACTAATTACTAATAACATTTCCACATTTAATAAGAAATGGACCAAAGACACTATAGTGGACAAGAATGACTGCTTTGTTAATAGAAACAAATTCATAAAATTAAAATTACCGAATGGCCAGAAGTGAAGGATGAAGTGTGATACATGTCAAATGACACTAGCCAATATTTGTAACGTTTCAAGAGACTCCAGTGTCAACAGGAAATATCAAAATTTAATAAAAACAAAAGTTTAAGTCTCTCCCTCTTAAAGACCAAAAGTTATACTACAACAATAACAGCCTTTTGGTACATTTCTATAACTTAGAAGTTTATTTTTATTTGTACTAAAAATACCATGTAGGCTTGATCCTCTACTGAAAAAGCAGCTGACGGGTCACATTTATACTCCTATTTTATAAAATGAAACAGTGAGCACGTCAGTGATGTGGGGGAGAGCTACTCCAGCAGAAGATGCAACACGGATGTGCAGAGTGTCACATTCTGACGACATCTCTGGCAATGCTCTTTTCATGTCATAAAGGAAACACATAACCAGGTACACTTTTCAAATGATGAAATACACACACACAAAAAAAAACCAGAGTTAACAGATATTCATAAAACTACTTAAAATGTAACATAATCTTCTTAAATATCTAGTAAATTCTTAAAACCTGTTATTTTTACTTACCTAACTTCTATTCACAGCCCTCAACATTAGTAAAACTACAATGTAAAGCAAAACCTTATGATTAATAAAGAAAAAGCTCTAACATATCAGCCAGTTGCAAAAGCAGAATAAAATTTCCAAACTTGAGGTTCAACTCCACGCCGTACCTGTGGACACCACTTGCCGACAGCACCACCGTGCTGTCTTCTCCAGAAGAAAACTGCCATGACTCACTCAGTCTGTGTTCGCCTGGCTCCAGCTCGCCCACCACCCAGTCTGGTAACTTCTCTGGGCTTGAACCCTTTGGTCGTGATGGATTTGGTTCATCAAAATAGATGGACTGGTTTTTAAAAATCAGAGAAATCATTTTTATAAAATGTACTATAAACAAAACACTTAAGTTTCCCATCAACTTTTAAATCTGGCAAAAGCTTTTAGAATACCCAATTTAAATACAACTATAGACAAATATATAAAATTTATCATTAAATACATAATAAATTATGCAATACTAAAATAATAAAATGGTTAACTTATTTACATTTCAGTGATGTTCTATTATACAAGAAACCTAATGAACAACAAAATTACATGGCAGATAAAGCTGGGGATAATTATTTATATAAGGATATTAGTATTATAATTGTGGTTCTCAACCTTCCTAATGCTGTGACCCTTTAATAAAGTTTCTCAATTTGTAGTGACCCCAACCATAAAATTATTTTACTTGCTGCCACATAACTGTGGTTTTGCTACTGTTCTGAATCATAATGTAAATTTTTTGGAGAAAAAGCTTTGACAAAGGGGTTGCAACCCACAGGAGAACCAGTGTTTTATAGTTAAATGGAAAACTTTAAAAATTATATCCTATTCTATTTCTTCCAATAAACATCAATTAATCTGCACATATAGGCACATATATACACAAAATCAGTATTTGGAATAATCACAATTAAAATGTGCCAGAAATTAAAACTAAAATTAAAAGCGCCTCGATGAGGTGGGAACTACAAAGTCGGAGACATGGCATTTAGTTCTAAACATATTGTTCGTTCCATGGGAGGTCAAGACAAAGCTCTGGCCTTCTTAGCATCATTTGTGAAATAAAATTCTCCCCTACAATTTTATGAAATTGACTGTGGATGGAAAAATGTGACACAATACATTCATATCCCGACATCTACTATTCCTCACAAAACACTCCATTTTAGACACTGAGGTGGCATTAGCCCAGTACTGTCAGTGAGCCAGGTACATGATAAGGTTTCTGGAGAAAACTCTTCTTGCGTAACCATCACCTAAGTCTACAGAAGTCCTCGAGGGGCTACTCTTCAGGAAATGGTCACATATGACCCCTTTATCTTAAATCTGAAATGAAAGATGATTCCTTTTTAAATGAGATATAGTTGTCTTGGTTACTCTCTGCTTCTCCTCCCATGGTTTAAGTTATTTGCAGTGAATCATAACTATATATATATTATTGGAAAATGCCACAAATAAGTTTTAAAGTGGGTGCTATTGTAAGTTGGAATAGATTCTCATAAACTCTGTTCCACTATCTCCAGCAAGATCTATTTGCACAGTATAAACTGAGTGCTGGCTAGTTCTACATCAACTTGGTACAAGCTAGAGCTATTTGGGAAGAGAACCTCAGCTGAGACTGGCCAATGTGCAAGTCTGGAGGGCACTTCCTTCACTGATGTGGAAGGTGTCAGCTCACTGCAGGCAGTACCACCCGGAGGCTGGTGGACCTGGGCACTATAAGAATGCAAGCTGAACAGGCCATAAGGAGCAAGCCAGTAAGCAGCATCCATCCATGGCCTCTGCTTCAGTTCTGCTTCCAAGTTCAGTTCCTGCCTTGATTTCCTTCAATGGACTGTGATGTGAAAGTGTAAGCAAAATAAACTCTTTCCTCCCCAAGTTGTTATTGTCACAATGTTTTATCACAGCAATAGAACCTTTGAGTAAGGTAATATCTACTCATATTCACTGAGTAGTTGTCTTAGATGTCTCCATATAGTACAAACAACTCCATGCTGTCTGCTATTTTGGGAATCTTGTGGAGATGGGGAATAAAAGCTTCTTAGACAATAGACAGACTGGTGTACTCATTCTAATGTCAATACACAGCGCGATTTCCCCAATAGCGCTGATCTTGGTATAAGCAAAACATATGGTCCTCCTTTTACAATGGATAATAGCATTCAAAGATTTTGTATTCTGCCACCAATAAAAGGAATTATCCTCTGGTGTGCAACATGCAATGATGCTAAATTTTGGTTAGTAAATTGCTAAAATGTACAGAAATTTTGTATTAATTTTGTAATAATTCTAACATTCACATATGTATATGCAACTGCAGTTAGCTGTCAATTAGATATGATACTCATAACCTACACAAACCAAGAGGCAAGTTTATGTTTACAAGGAGCAAGATGGGGACAACCAACTAGCTATAAAATAACTACCTCATAACAAAGCTGATAACAATTAAATCACTATAGAAAATTATTTTTAAATACTAATTTAATATTATCAACAGACTAGAAAGGAACCTCTAAAAGCCATTAAACTGATATGTTAAACAATATATATGAAAGAACTAATAAACTAGAATTTATTGAAATACTTAACATATTAAGAGTCAAATTTGAAAATTAGTAAGTAATTAAGGCCAGTTTTAAAATTTATTTTTATATAAGAGAATATAAGTGAATAAAATATTAAAAGAAGAATATTTTCTATTGAAAATGGGAAAATGAATCAAAGTTTTAATTTTATGTATTATCTAGCACATATAACTCATTATTATTTCCTCCCCAAAAGGGATGCTATATCATAGTCACTTTTAAGGAAATGAAACTGCTCTGCAGTGGTCAATGGTACTTACCATATATGATGGTAATGTTTTTAGCGTTCCTGGCTCAGGACGGTGTGTAAAAGGGCCTTCCAGGACTCCTCGCCTAAGCATGTGCAGTAACAGCTTTGCATACAGGTTCCGATTCTTCCTACCCAGGAGTCCTGCACCTGTTCCCGAGGGCTCACACAGCTTTCTGATCCAAAGAGCACACCTCTGCCGTTCTGTATGTACAGAAGAACTAAGTGAAATCTGATCCTACTGTAATTTAAAAGGGGAATAGCCAACTTCCTAAAAAGCCCAATTGTAAATACTCCAAGCTTTCGAAATCATGTGATTTCTGGTGTAACTTACTCTAATTGACCACCTCATCGAGAAAATATTAATAAACTATAAGAATGCAAACGGTGTGGCAACATTTCAACAAACTTTACAACACCAACAAAAAAATGGTTGTGGACTGAAAAAAAAAACTGTACACTCCCAGTCTAGAGCTCATTTTATTACCTAGGTGCAGCTGGGCAACACAAATATGAATACATATTTTCATAAAAATAAGATTCCTGGAATCTGTCATTGATAGTTAATAAAAATAAAATTTCTGAATATTATTAAACATGTTTTTAGAAAATAACTTTAGATATACTGAAAAGATTTCTCTAAATCCTAACTACACAAACATAGAAAGCCAAGCACATATTCACTCAGAAATTAAATCCAAACATTTTATCTATTAAAGCCAATAATTCCAAGAGATTTGTAGCTGATTCAAGGCTTTCTTTGATATCGCTAAAATAATTGAGTGAATAATTTCATGAAATAATTATCCTTCTAAAAAAATCTACCTAAAACTGTGGCAATTTAATCCACATAACCACTGAGTGTATTATCTTGCTGTGACGCAGGATTTTTTAACTCACATGAACACTACTCTGATATTTTTATCAGTCTAACTTAATTTGTGGATTACATATATATTATACAAATCACTAATCTCTTGACTTATAAAAGGTCATAATCATTTATTGTTTTGCCTACAACAAAAAAAATCACTAAGTCTGGATTTACCATTTTGTAATCTCACTACAGGCATGAGAGGTAGATCTCTTTTTTTAAAAAAAAAAAAGTGTGTATTTTTGCTCTGAAAATTATATGAACACCAAACAAACTTTATAAATATTCAGCATACTTTAAACAAACAGAAATACATAAGTAGAATTGATTTGCTTGAGCAAATCATTAAAAATATGATATCGTCATGTCTTCTAGCAAACTGACATCTACATTATATTCAATGCATGCACTTTGGTATACCTTGATTAATTAAGAGCTTAATTCTCTACTTAAAATGGTAGAAAAGCCCACTGTGAAAGGTGGCTTTAGCTGTAAGACTAGATGAGCTGGTACAAATTTCTAGTTCTCTCTCTCTCTCTCTCTCTCTCTCTCTCTCTCTCTCTCTCTCTCTCTCAATTTTTGTTTGTTTGTTTTTGTTTCTGTTTTTCAAGGTAGGGTTTTTCTGTGTATCTCTGGTGTCCTGGAACTAACTCTGTAGACCAGGCTGGCCTCAAACTCACAGAGATTGCCTGCCTCTGACTCCCTGAGTGATGAGATTAAAGGCGTGCACCACCATTGCCCAGAGAAATTTCTAGTTCTTAAATGGGATGAGTTCCTACATGTTCATTATGAAGTAGTAAAAGAGGACCATGAATGTTCTACATAGATGATGTGTATGAACTTAAGGTTATATTTAAGAATTCTAAATACCTAAAACCTAATTTTTAAAAAGACAAAATATGAGAATAGTTTGATTTTAAATACATTTATAATGGGAAATCCTAATACAAAATTTTCTTAATTGGCAGATCCAAGACAAAAAAAGAAAAAAAATAGTGCTTATCAAAGTTCTAGAATCAACATAGGTATCCATCAATGGGAAAACAAATAAAATATGGGATTTATATACAATATGATCTTATTCAGACATAAGAACAATATAATGTCATCTACAGGAAATGAAATGAACTACATATCATCATGTTAAGCAAAACAAACCAGATTCAGGAAGACAAATATCACACATTTTCTCTCATACACAGAATCTAGACATTGAAAATGACATGGAAATAAGAAGGGTCACTATTACAGAAGAGGAAAAGGAAAAGCAGAAGTAGGAGGAGAGATAAGAGAGAACAAGAAAGGGAATGACCATGATCAAAGTAAATATAACGTTCATAACATATATAAAAATGTCATAATGAAACCCATTATTTTGTGTAATCAACATGTGGTAATTTTTAAAAGGTAGTGAGTATCAGAAGAGGATGTGATACCCATCTATCATTATGTACTGTCAGAAGTCATCATGAGTCAGCAACAGATGTGAAGGAACCTGAAGCCATGAGAACTGAAGAACAACAGAAGAAGAAAAGAAAGGCTAAGGACCAATCAACAAGGTAAGAAAAGAGGCACAAGGATATGGTTCAAGGGAAGGTCAGAGAAGGCTGAGAGCTCCGGAACAACAGCCGAGCAAAGACTGCATCATTTCTATGTACATTGCCGTCTCAGTGCAGCTCCAAAGAAGTCTGTAGCATTAAGCAAGCCCCCCACTTTGAATATAAAGTGCACTCAGATATCTCAGGGACATGAGAACTTGGAAGAACAAAAAGTCATGGCTTCTTAGGTTCACTCCACACCCCCTACTCAATATCTATCAGATCTACCAATTGCTCATTACCCCTATAGTCGATAATACAGCCACTGCAGCTTAGAAGATCTCCTAGGGCCCTACATTCTATGCAGCCCTCTAATACATTAAAATTTCTGTAAATCTATCTTGAAACAAAGGTTCTCATTCCAAAAGTACAAATAATAGGGCAGAAACGAAAGCAACATAAACTCATTCATAGTTATTTTATCAGCTAGTCAGATTTAAAGAATCAGGGGTTAACAATGGGTCCATGAACTGGAAGTCACTTCCAAGGAGGAGGGAAAAGACAAAGAGAAGAAAGAGAAGTAACTAACTTTTAAGATCTCATGCTTTAAGCTCATGGCACGAGCCATAGCATCACAATGAAACCCTGTCAAAGCTTAGAGGACACTGCCACTAAATTTTTATTTACCCAGGAACAGCTCAAAGTAAACAATCCTACATCAATGATAAACATTAGCATTAAGTAAGTTTTTTAAAAGGGAATTTCAACTTTATTTCCATTTTGACAGTTCACTCGTATGACATCTAATCCTGATTGGAGATATTCAGAATCACCAAGGAAACACATTTCTGGCTGTGTTTGTGATGGTGTTTCCAGAAAAATTTAACTGAGGAGAGACCCATGTTATATGTGGGCAGCATCATTCCACAGGCTGGAGGACCTTAAATGAAGCTGAGAAGTAGCATTCTCTGCTCTCTGCTTTCTGACTACAGATGCAATGTGACTGGCCGCTCAAGCCCCAGACACCATGCCCTCCCCACCATGAGGGACTGAACCCTCAAATTGAGAACCAAAACAAGCTCTTCAGTTGCGTCTTACAGGTATTTTGTCATAGCAATAATAAAGCCATTAGTAGTTAATATAACTGTTTTTGATCAGATATTCTTATTTTTAATCTTAAGGATCTAATTTCAGCTAGATATGGTGGCACAGGCCTATAACCAAGTACTGGGGAGGCTGAGGCCGTATGCTGGAGGCTAGTCTGGTCTACATAGTGAACATCAGTCTAGCCAGGGCTACATAGTAAGAATATCTCAAAAACAAGAGTCTAATCTCAAACACAATCTTACCTGACCTGTGGGGTAATTTTAGAACAAAAGGCTTCATATCTACCACAAAGTGATCAAATTCTGCATCCAGTTTCTCCCATTTTTCTTCTTCATTTTCCATTTCCATAATCTGTTCTGTGAAAAAGTTAAAATTAGGCATCAAGTATCTGTATGAGGAAGGCTAGGAAACCATGAGAAAGCACATTAAAGAAAACTTGTCAGTTAAATACCAGTCCTCCTTAATTGACTGCTAGACTCAGTGAAATTCTGATCAAAACTTAAGACAAGCCGATTCTAAAATTTATATGAGAAGGTAAAAGAATCCAAGTAGCAGCAAAAGTTTTGGAGAATTGTGAAGTTGGAGGCTCACATCACTTGATTATAAGCTGAACTATAGCAGTCGACATTACAGTGCTGCATAGAGAACATATAGACCAGAAAAACAGAACAGAAAGCACAAAATGGACCAATAAAAGTATGAACCCATGATATCTAACAAAGGCATATCAAAGAGAAATGACAATTTTTATAACAATAATGATGTAACAATATGCATGTAAATTGAGTCTAAATGAATATTGGACCTAAATGTAAACTGTAAAAATTGAATATAAAGGAAAAGATCTCCTTGACTTTAACAAAGAAAAAAAAAGATTACCTACAAAACAAAAAAAACTGATATATAATATTGGACTTCAGCCCACTCCACGCCACCCCCCAAAAATATCCTGCTAGCTTTGATCTGTAAAGATCCTATATAGAGACTGGGAAAAGTCCTTGCAAATTCTGAATTCAAAAGTAACTTCTATCAATAGCTCATGAGTGATTGGGGAATTATAGAGTTCTGTGGTGCAGTGTTGTGTGCTGTGAGGCCCTTGTTCAAACTCCAGCACAGAAAAATAGCATTAATAAGGAAAATATGAATAATTCTCATCACTTGGCCATAAGAATAAAAAACATTCAATAAAAATAATGACAAAAATCAATCCTTTTGACAGTAATTAATTATATATTTTTAAATGATAAGAGAGATGATAAAAAGAAATACATCATAAGATTCTGGAATGATGGTATCAACTACCCTGTTGTCATTACAGACTGCATACATGGTTTTAAATACAGCGATGAATCCTCCAAACATATATAACTCCTATGTGTCCGTTATATTTTATTTTATTTTAATAATTATATTTTAAATTATATTATTTAAATCAGTTATATTATATTTTAAAACAGCAATACGTTCACCAAAGGAAAAATACAAATAATGGCAATTATGCACATAAAAAGATGCTCAACATCACTAGTCACTAAGGAAGTAAAACGCAAAACCATACTGCAATACCCCAACAACACATGAGGACAGACAAAATTAAGTCAAGAAATGCAAAATGGTGGTGAGAATGGAGAATACAAAACTCTGATGCGTTGCCGGCCAGAAAGTGAAATGACAATGACTTTCTGGAAATTGTTTGACAGTGTCTTTCAAAGCTAATCATGCACTCACCATATGACAAAAACTCCCAAATGAAATGTGAAATCTATGCTCACACAAAAAGTGTGAATGTGGTGACTTGAGTGACTTTTTAAAACTCAACAGTGGAAACAGTCACAAATTGTAATATGATCACACATACTAATGCTGGACCCAGCAACCAAGAATGAATACTGACACCCAAAACAAGAAAAGCTACAGGGAAAGAACTCCTTTTCAAAAGGTTATGTGCTAGGATTAAAAGCATACACCACCACCACCCAGTACTCAGGAGGCAGAGGCAGGCGGATCTCCGTGAGTTCGAGGCCAGCCTGGTCTACAAGAGCCAGTTCCAGGACAGGCACCAAAAACTACAAAGAAACCCTGTCTCAAAAATAAAAAGTAAATAAATAAATAAATAAATAAAATTTAAAACACACACACACAAAAAAAAGGCTATGTGCTAAGTCCGTTGATATGAGGTCCCAAAGAAGGAAAAAGACTTTAGCAGCGAGAACAGTCAGCGGTCACAGAGATCATCAGGAAAGGACAGTCTGAATAGAGAGGATGTGCACCAGAAAACTACCAGGGGTATCTAACTGTTCTGCACATGAACTGCTGACGAAATTGTGAAGTCTGTACATGTGTAAGAATTCACTGAACTATATGTCAAAATCTTAAAAGTCCTTTAATTCCCCCCTACACCTTTAAAAATATTAACTCTTCATATACACTGACAAAACCAGAAACAAACTATCTTATGTTAAAAATATATCCAGGAAGTAGCAAGATGGCTCAGTTGCTAAAGAGCTTACTGTTTAAGCATGGGGACCTGAGTTTGGATCCCCAGTATTCACATCAAAAACCCAGGCGTGGGCACATGTGTTTATAATCCTCCTGTAGTGGAGGCAGAGACAGGCGGGTTCCTGGAATTCCCAGGATACCAAGTCTACCAATAGATGAGCTCCAAGTTCAGTGAAAGAGCCTAACTCAAAGGATAGGGTGGGAGGAGGTGGCATCTGGTACACACACACACACACACACGCACACACACACACTCCTTCAATCCTTACCTGTAGCGCAAACATGTAATGCCATTACTCAGAATGCTCATTGCCTACCTTGGTTACAGCATGATCTCGAGGCAAACCTGAACTATTTACACAGATGTTGTCTCCAAATAACAAGTAAAAAAGAACCGAGTGCAGTTTAGTAAAGGGTGCAGTACTTGTCTAGCATGTCTGAGGCCTAGGTTCAGTCTACAGATCCTCAAAAAATTAATTGTCTTTGTATTAAAACTGAAGAAAAAGAAAAAAGAAAAATTCCATAATCAATGTCTATTTAAACTGTGAGCTACCCAACTTGTCACATACTTACAAATGATGGATTGGGGGAAGCTTTGCCCTTCCTTCAAAGCTGATCTATGCCACAGTTTAACATTATCCCTGCAAAAGGAGGCTCTAATGTTTACAGTTTCTCCCCATTTTTTTCTACAGCCTCCTGTCCTGTCTCGGTCAGTGACCCTACCTTCCATTGGTTCCCTTCACTTCTCTCACAGCCATGAGAGGGAGCTATGGCCTCACTATTGCACACAGGTGCGTGATTTATTCAGTCTTTCATTCTCTCCACCCAACACTGCCTAGGAGGGCAAACACTGGCTAAGATCCCAGCTACTGCTTCTCTCACAATCGCCCCTTTGGGGCCTCAAGTCATCTGGCTACACGCTTGCTTTCCATTCCCATTGGGAACAGGCCGGCACCTGATAGCAGCACCTTCTCCTTGGACGCTCACCTGCACCTCTCTCCCTCCTCCTCCCATCCCACCTCCTCTTCCCTTGGCAACACTGCAAACCCCACTGATCCTGTCTCTAACCAAAGAGCCACTCCAGAAAGATGGCACTGTCTGGAAGTTGGATGGCTCTTTGAAGAGCTGACTTTTGACCAGTCCACAGAGCAATGCCCAAAACTTAACATACACCTTAAGCCCCTTAATCAATTGTGACTTTTTTCTCAACTTAAGAAAAAAAATGGTACTACTAAAATGGTACTCCTCCCACCTCTGGAAGGAGGATACATCCTTACATCCTTACCTTGCCACTATTCCTACATCCCAGCCAGCAGCAATTCTTTCCAAGATGGCATCTCCTCCTATCACTTCTTAACTATCACTTACCTACTCCCTCTTATTTCAAATTCTCCATCTCACTGGCTCCTTCTCCTCCTGTGTCGCCCCTCAGTCTGGCCTTCCACTCACCAGTGCACTCTTACTTTACTTCCAGCTCCATTCTCCATGGGAATCACCCGTTCCACTCCAGCAGGTTACTGAGCCCTTTCAGAGTCCCCCATGATCCAAACAGCTATCTTCTTGTCTCCCTGGTACCACACCTCACAGCACCCTACCCTCCTTACGGCACTACTCCTACGCCTAGTACCACTCGCTACTCCTAGAAGTGCATCTTTGACTTAATAGCTCACTCCCTCCGGCATTGCTGCCACCCAGGTCCTTTCTTCTCAGTCTCCCAACGGCTCATTTCCCCAGGCACCATTAAGTCCAGATTCTGCATTGCTCTTTCCTTGGTTTTCTTAGAATCCAACTTTTTACCTTCTGTCTGGGCAGTCACAATCGGTACTGGTAGTTTGCTTATGCTGTTTACCTTAAATTTTATTACTAACTTACTCTCTCCTTGCAGTTCCAAACTCATATTTACAGCAGCTTCCTGGACCTATTCTGTAATGTCCTGTTTGTTACGAAGATATGTGTGTGTGTGTGTGTGTGTGTGTGTGTGTGTGTGTGTGTGTATCCCAAAGGAAATTCTTTTCAATTGTCTCCATATGCTTAGTGGTATCATCATCTGTTTCATCTTCCTTGCTAGACATATCAAGGTTTCCATATTCTAAACTCTCCATCAAGCAGCCCAGGGACAAACAGGCAGGAGCCCCAGCTTCTCTACTCTCACTGCGCTCTACCAGAGAAAACCTGTGCACCACTAACTTGTACCTACTACAATGGCCCCGTGACCTGCCCTCCAACAAGCCCTGTCTCTACCTGAGGAAAAGGTGATGCTAATCATAACAATTTCAAAATCTCTCTGCTGCTCTATCTCTAGATAGACAGTATCTCTACAGGATACTTTCCAGAGCCCATGTGAGCCGTGCAAGTGCCTTCCCATTTAGGCCTATCTCTGACCACGGCTAGTCTTCGCCTAACTACACAAACCCACCAATGGCCATTTTAACCTCCCCACTGTCATGATGAACTTCTCACCATTCTTCAAACACTCCAAGACTCCCCTAATCAATGCACAGGTCTATACAGACCTGGGGGCAGACATATACAGCTAGTGTCATTGCTGAGCGTAGCTAGTCCTATTACCCTAGGCTAATTTCTGCTCTCTTCTTACTGTAAATGTTCACGTGTGTGTTACTGCATTTACCATAATTTGCATATCATTTACATGTTCTCTACATCTGGGAGAGGTTCTTGGAAAGCAGAGGTTCTTGGAAAGCAACTTACACCTTAGTAAGCATCCTGCATATTATAAAATACATGTTAGGGGCTAAAGAATTGATTGCTGAATAAGCAGATTGATGTTCAACTTCTGCATGATAGAAAAATGGCTTTTTTGACAATTTTGGGGGGGAGTACAAGTTTCTGTGGGTGTGTGCATTTTCATGTGGCATTTTTGCATGTCTTCTTTGATCACTATGCACATTAATTTTTGAGATAGGGCCTCTCACTAAGCCTGAAGCTCTTCAATTCAGCTAGGCTGTCTGGCCAATGAGAATGAGGAATTTACCTGTCTCTGGGGTTACCACTGTACACCACCACTTTCAGCTTTTATCTGAGGGTTGAGCATCCAAACTCGGGACCTCATGCTTGAACCACAGGCACTTTACAGACGGAGTCATCCCCCCAGCCCCAAATGATTGGTTTGGAACACTTCTGAACACCAACTAGGTCTTACAGGATACACGCTCCTAATTCCATTTGTCAAAACTGGCCATCCTACTTTCTATGTTTACAAAGAGAGAGAGAAATGTGCTTTCAACTTTAAGACACAGTTAAAACAAACTTCATCCAGGACTGGGGAGGTAGCTCTGTGGCAGAGCATTTGCTTGGCATATGTGAGGCTCCAGTCTCAATCCTCAGCGCTGCATAAATAATTAACTAATCAAGTAACTTGGTTTAAATTAATTTAACGACCAGTTCATTCGTTTGGGGGAGTTGTGTTTGATTTGTTTCATTTTAAATTCCTACAATATATTCAGTACTTGGTGAAAGTACAGTATGATATTATATAAAGCACACTATGATAGCATACTGGGTAATAATAAAGTTGAAAACAACTATTCAAGTGGATAAATAAAACAGTGGAAACTCCTAGGTCCACAACTCTAAGCTCAGCTTTGCCCTGGATACACTCCCAGGCTTACACGCATGCCCATGTACTCAAGTTTGCCTAAGCCTGTCGTTTGCTGCGGCCAAAGCAAAAAGGTTCCTCGTAATCACTAAGTCTCAATAAATCCTTTGACATTTGTGGAAATGTTAGTGTTTGATATTAGAAGAGACTAGCATTCAGCAGTTAAGTGACTCACCAAAATCATATAATTACGCAAAGCCCAGATTAAAATTCTGAAATCCCTAGGTCTTACATAATCTGACAACTTGGTCATTTACATGTAAGTCAGAAATATCTCCAACTAATAAAAAAAAAGTAATTCGAATAATAAAAAGGCAATCCGAATGCGGTCTGGACACGTAATAGTCAAATCATACTCAGAAAAGAAAAGCAGAAATGGGCTGGGTCAGTAAAGTTCTTGCTGAAGAAGCAGGAGAACTGAGTTCAGTCCCCAATATCCACAAGAGACAGACACCTGTAATTCCAGCAGCAGAAGGAAGGAGAGACAGGTGGCTCCCTAGAGCTCACTCACCAGTCAGCCAAATCTAATCAGGGAGCCCAGGTCTCAGCGAGACTCGCTCTAAAACAAGTTGGACAGCTCCTGAGGAATCAAAGGTCACACTGACTCCTGGCCTCCAAATTTCTATGCACGCATATACCTGCGCAAAAATAACACCAACATGATACTTAGCCGAACTCTGCCTTTCCTTGCCCCTTATTTACTCTTCAACAACAACAAAAAATATAAATTACCATTTCAATTTTGGAAGGAATTTCTGCTACACAAATAAATTATACTGTACACACAGATTAGGTCTCGCTATCAAAAAGGTTTTTACACTACATTAGAACTTCAGGTTTAAGGTATTAAAACTGAAAAATAAGGCCAGGCATGGTGGCGCATGCCTTTAATCCCACCGCTTAGGAGACTGAAGCAGACTTATTCACTAGTTCGAGGCCAGCCTGGTCTACAGAGTGAGCTGCAGGACAGCCACAGCTATGTAGAGAAACCATGTCTCAAAAAGTTTAAAGAAAAAGGAAAAATAGGTAAAACTCTATCTCTGGTTTAGAATTAAATCATTCATGGCCTGTCTTTCACTGATAATTAAAATGACTGCTACATGCACAACCTACTTCAAAAGTACAGAAAAAAGTAGGGTGTCTTTTGTATTCATATTCTGTATTTATGTGGTGTCTTTTATTAAACTCACTGGCCTCACCTTTTCAAAAATCTGTTTCTTTGTGGACAGTTATAAAACAAGCTAAGACCTTCTCAAAGGTGCTTGGCTGCCATAGAAGTCAGTAAAGCACACGCAAGCTGCCAATATTAACAGCCTTAAAAAGAGAAAACCGCTAAGCCAAAGACGCACTTCATAGCATGCACCTCGCCAAACGCAACATAGTCCTGAAAGTTACTTAAAATGCGTTTTGTTCCATCAATATAAATATATTGTGGAGAGTAATACAGAGGACTTGAAATGCCAACAAGTCAACAAGGGTTACCAGGGCACGTTTTTGCGGGTTACACATCTGGATGTCTTCCCAGAAGACATCGGGGCAACTGTGGGCGTTAGAAATGTATCCCGGTGTGTCCTCCAGGGCACTTAACCAGATAGACACGATTTCCACTATCCTTCACCCGTTGGAAGGTTGGGCTTAGCGGCGTCAATAACCCGACTGGGTCCTGTAGGCAATCAGCTGGACCTGAACACTGCACAAATGATTCTGCTCTCCCCTCAGCTGGGGGTAAGGGAACGGGCTCAATGGCATTTCGCTTGCCTTTTCTATCTTACTTCCCATTATCTTTAAATAGTAACGACAAGTCATAAAAATACCAGCATACTGATGTGGGGGGAAAGGGTACACGCCCTGTCATCCCAGCACTGAGGAGGCAGAGGCAGGTGGATCTCTGTGAATTCGACACCAGCAAGGTCTACACAGTGAGAGCCTGTCTCAAACAAAAGGCCGCTGTCCTAAGTACTCGTTTTCTGAGTCTCTACAAATACTGCACGTCCCGCTCAAGGACCGCGACTCCGGGCTAGGAAGCTTGCAAACCCCAAATTCAGCAGAAGTTTCTCGGAGCCAGCCTGCAGTCGGGTCCTGCTCCCCGGGCAGAGCACTGCAGCCGTCCGGTTCCCTGCGGTCACTTCCTCCGCCGGTGTGAGCGGCGCCTGCGTGGCCCACCCAGGCCCGGGCGGCTGTCCTCCATGCTCCAGGACTCAGATCTCTCCTCACAACCCCAAGCCCCTACCTTAAGGCTCTGGGCCACGCCATGCCGCCTGACCCAACTTTACTGAGAACTTTCCCTGGCCTTCTCTGGGCTGCTAATCCCGCGGGGGCGCGCGCCACACAGGCCGCAAGCGCGGGTCCCCGGCCTGCGGCGACGCCCCTCCCCGAGCCAGCCCGCACGCGCGGGGACTGCATTCCGCGCAAAATTCCACTCAGAACCTGGGACTAGGGCGGGAGCGGGAACTATTGGTGAGAGAAAAAGGAGAGAGAGAGAAAGAGAGAGAACCTGCAGCCCCCACAAGCAAGCCGTCCACTCGGCCGCCGCCGCCCTGCCGCCACAGCCAAACGGTTTCAAATCCTTGCGGGCCGCTGGGTCGTGGTCGTCCAGCATAACCAGGGGCGGGACTACCGAGCTCGTCTGTCCCGCCCCCTCGAACAGCCGCTGACCCGCCACGCGGTTGCCATGGCGACGTGCTGGATGATGTCTATCACTGCCTCTCACATCCGAGGGGGCGGGAGTTTCCGCCCTCCGAGGTGTGGTTGTCACTCAAGGGGCGGAGACTTCCCACCGCGCTGTTCCCCACCCTCCGGGAAATGGTGACCCCCAAGCCGCTCCGTCGCTGTGGTAACGGTCTAGTCCACTGCGCAGGCGCAAAGCTCGTGGGTCTTCCCCCCCCCCACCCGTCTAGCCCTTGACGGTTTCCCGGTTTAATCTCCTGTGATCCTAGGGTGCTGTGTGGAGTAAACGCTGCTGCTTCCGGGCTTCCCACTGAGTAGTTTGTGAACACTTTAGAGACTGAGGAGAAAACAAGAAAAGCTCAAAAGCAATGGACTTACTGGACAATGTTCATAGAAAAGCCTGTCTGTTGTTCGAACAGACATCACCTTTGAGTAAGCTTTAAAGCCAGGAGAATTTATCCTTGTTAGCTCACACGGCAGAGGTGAGGGTGAATTATTCAGGATAAAGAGCCATCGTAAGTCTGAAACCACTAACCCTGAAAGACGCCGAACTGAAATAAACGGCTTTGTGTCTAGTAACTCTCTACAGAATCGTACCATCAAAAAGGGGGAAAAAATGTATTTTGTCCTTCCCAGGAAGTATCATGGATCTCGGGGCAGTCTATATTGCTGTGTGGTGATGCTCTTTGATCTTTTACGTTTCTAGGAGCTCTGAACTATGTACTTTAAAATATCAACAGAAACAAAATTTAAATTGCAAGAACACTGCCTTAAACGAAATTCAGTGTGCCACTGTTTTTCATCTAAATTCACGGCAGAATTCCTTCTGCAGAATCCCTGCCTTGCGCTCAGTGTGGTGCCCGACCTAACACAAGCACAGCTTGAAACATCTTTTCAATTTTCCATAAGGAAAACAGAAGAGTCACTTGTTTGTAATTAGCTCTTTTCGGCTTCCAGAAAAAGACCACACTCTTCAAGGTGCACTTTCAAATCCGTCTCCCTGGAGGTAAACACCGATAGCTCCTCATAGTTTCAGAGGCAAATTGTGCTAAAGAAAAGAAAGAATGAAGAATGCTTTCTAGACTATTTGGTTTCCGAAAGCATATTTGAACACACGCACAGCTGAGGAATGACCGACAATCCAGATCATTTGTATGGAGAATCATTGTAAAATATGCAGAAATGTGACCAGTAGGAGACCATGGAATGTAAGAGGTGGAGCTTACAGATCAAAAGATACAGATTCTCAAGTAGGAATAAGAAACTCAAGAGTACAACGTGGAGACTATAGGCAATAACTGTGTATTGAACCTTTTGAAGGGCAATTTGTGTTATATTTATGTGCAGGACATTAACCGTGTACAGTTAACCCAGCTCAGTGGTGAGTTCTTTGGCCTTCGCCTTTTCCAGCTTGTCAATGCGAGCCAAAGATTTTGGGCAGGAAGCATTGTCACCCTAGTGGTGGCAGATCTCATTGTATCTCTCCCAGTAGCTGGTCCTGGTAGCTTCCACCTGCTCAGCGGAGTGTTTCTGTCTTGAGTTAATCTGCATGAAAACAACAGTGGTGCTGGCCTTCCTGGGACCAGCCGCCCCAGCTTGGTCTTCTCTTTAGTGAGGCAGTAGCGAGTCCCCATCTCGTGACACAAGGCAGAGAGGAAGCCTACCAGCTCTACGGGGCCGACCCTTTGTTGACCAAGAGCGGAGCTTTCTTATTCTCTACCGAGGTTGTTGTGACCCTTTGAACTCCTGCTTGACGGACAGATAGTCTCTTAGTGGCCATGTCCCTTTTGCCTGCAGCTTTTTGCTCAGCACAGCTGGCAGCCTTAGCTTCTCCTCCAGCTTGGTCTCTCCTGCCCTGCACTTTTGGGCAAGCTAAAGTAGGTGGTGGCTGTGTAACAGTCCAGGGTCTGGATGAGCTGGCCTAATCACAGGAAGTACTTTGAGCTGCTTACAGATGAAGGTTCTTTGCTGTTGTAGCCGGATGGAACAAGGCCATTTGATGATAAAGCATGTGAGGTCCCTGTTGGTCTGGGTGTCTTGTCCAGAGCTGAAGTGCTTAGGCCTTTTCTCATAGGATTTGCCATGTTTTTGGCCTCTTGCTTCTTCATGATGAAGGAACAGTGGCCATCTTCTTCCCTTTGACCTTTTTTTGCTTTGGACATTTCTTCTGCTGCAGTAGAGAGTATATATCATAGTCTTGAAAATTCCACTCAAGGTATATTGCTGTAGTGTTCACCTTATAAAGTGGATAAGTGCATGAAATAACATATATGTTAATTTGCTCAAGTTAACAAGTACATGTTGTGTGCATATTTCAAAACATTGTATGGTACCAATAAACACATGATTTTTAGACAATAAAAAGAGTACAAGGACTGCAGAGATAGTCCAGTGGGTACCTGAGTGCTTGCTTGTGCATGAGGACCAGCGTTCAGATCCCCTGCCAGGTGGCTGTGGTTCCCACCTATAATTGCAGCATTCAGAAGGCAGAGACAGGATCTGAAGAGCAAAATGGCTAGTTAAACACGCTGCATAGAGGAGCTCTGGGTTCAAATGAGACATCGTGCTCAGTGATCAAGGAGGACTTCCAGCATCGACCTCAGGTGCACACACTCACACACCTGCACGCACACACACACACACTCAGACACACACACATGCAGGCACATCGCATGCACATCTTTTCAAAGGGGGCAAGAGGAAAAATGTAATTCAGTCAAGTTCAGAGGAAATGAGGGAAGGAATTTTCCTCCCTTAATATCTACCCTCAAATCTCTCCCAAAATAACTCTTGGAAAATATTAATGCAGACCGGAATTATGATAGCACATTTTTTTTCCTTCATTGTTTTTCATCAATGTGAATTTGTCTAGTCATTCGAAGGACTGTGAGTAATAAACACGCTGAAAAATACATGATACAAAAATAAATGTTACTGACTTGGAATCACTGCAGTAGAGAATCAGTTGTTTCCACTCCTTAGCAAGAATTAGACATAAACAGAAGTGGAGTTTTATTTATTAAGTTAAGAATTTTCAGTTGCAGACTTTTTTCAGATTTTGTATTCATGCTATTGTAGGTAAATTAGAAAATGCTGGGCTCTTTAAAGAAGACATTAACACAATTTTACCATTAAAAAATAACCAGGATTGGGGATGGGGTGGTGGTGGCACACACCAGCCTGGTCTACAGAGCACATTCCAGGACATCCAGAGCTACACACAGAGATCCTGTCTTACAAAAAGAAAAAGAAAGGAGGGAAGGAAGGAAGGAAGGAAGGAAGGAAGGAAGGAAGGAAGGGGAAAAAAGTAACAGGATTAACTTATATGCACATACACATATGTTCAAATCTTCTATCTGTACATTACATCATCATCACTTTAAACGTGGCCTTATCCCACCATATACCTATAAAACAATTTGTTTACTTTTCTACTGTAGTTACTAATTCTGGTTTTCACAGTATTTCTGTAATAAAAGTCATTGTTGAAGTCTCAGTTACTCTGTTACCTCCATGTGACAGACTTATTTCATGGATATGTGGGTACATGTATGAATATGTTTGTGTGCACATGTGCAGTATGTGCAGAGGTCAGTGACTGACAGGTACCTTCCTCGGTCACTGTCCACCTGAGTTTTTTTTAAAGATTTATTTATTTCATTATATATACAGTATTCTCAGTATTCTGTCTGCATGCATGCCTGCAGGCTAGAAGAGGACACCAGATCTCATTACAGATCTGGTCTGGTGTCCACCATTGTGAGCCACCATGCAGTTGCTGGGAATTGAACTCAGGACCTTTGGAAGAGCAGGCAATGCTCTTAACCACTGAGCCATCTCTCCAGCCCCACCTGAGTTTTTGAGACAATCTCTCATTGAACCTGGAGTCTGCAGCTTTGGTGAGGTTGCCTGTCAGCCAACCGCAGGGGGCTGTCTACTCCTGCCCACCCCACCCACTCCCAACGCCGGCAGTTATAAGCTCCTGCACCCTGCTTTCATGCGGCTGTGGGGATGGAACTAGGGTTTTCAGGCTTTCAGGGCATGCACTCTATTGACTGCGCCATCTTTCCAGCCTGTAAGACAAGGGGGACCCTAAGAGAGGTGCATGAATTGCCCTGGGAAGGGAAATGGGATGAGATCTCATGGGTAAACTGAGGGCGATAAAAGGGAGGAGATGAAGGATGAGAACATGAGGGAGCAAGGTGGTCGAGTCTCGGGGGGAACAGAGTGGGGAAGCAATCAAAGAGATATCTTAAGAGAGAGAGTTGTTATGGGGCTGGGGAGATACCTGGTGCTAGGAAATTCACAAGAATTATTCACAAGGATGATCCCAGCTAAGACTCCTAGCAATAGTGAAGAGGGTGCCTGAACTGGCCTTTCCCAGTAATCAGATTGATGAATACCCCAACTGTCATCATAGAGACTTCATCCAGTAACTGATGGAACCAGATGCAGAGATCCACAACCAGGCACCAGGACTACCTCCAGGAATCTAGTCGAAGAGAGGGAGGTGGGAATATATGAGCAAGGGAGGTCAAGATCATGAAGGGGAAATCTACAGAAACAGCTGAACCAAGCTGATGGGAACTCATGAACTCTAGACTGTGGAGCCTCCATGGGACCGAACTAGGCCCTCTGCATGTGGGAAACAGTTGCATAACTTGGTCTATCTGAAAGACCCTTGGCAGTAGGACCAGGATCTATCCCTGGTGCATGAGCTAGCTTGTCAAAGTCCTTTCCCTATGGTGGGATTTCATACTTAGCCTTAGTGCAGGGGAGAGGGGCTTGGTCCTGCCTCAATTTAATAGGCCAGGCTTTGTTGACTTCCCATGGGAGCCCTTATCCTTTTGGGAGGAGTGGATGAGGGTGGGCGAGGGGTGGCAGGAGGAGGGGTGGGAGGGACAACTATGGTTGGAATGTAAAATGACATCTAAATTTTTTTTTAAAAAAAGTGATTTTCAATGGACATAAAATAGCATTAAGGTTTTCCCTCCCCAAATTACTCTCCGAACTTATTTTACAAATCTGTAAGACACTTGGCAATCTAGGAGAGTTTCAGAGTCACATTAACAACTTTTTGGATCTATGCAAATTGTCTCTTAAGAAAAGTTAGATGGCTTTTAATTTGCATTTTCTACTCTTTGAAAATGTGAATGTTTCTTATTAGTCCCTTTTAGTCTTCCATAGTAGAATCTCTTTTGCTCTTTGTTCATTTTTGAGGAAGTTGACCTGAGATGGTGTGCTGGTTTGAACGAGAATGGCTGCATAGGTTCCTGTATTTGAATGTGTGGTCCCCAGTTGGTGGATTGCGGAGAAGAATCAGGAGGTGTGTCACACTGCCAAGCCCAGCCTCTTTCTCTGCCTGCTGTCTGTTGATCAGAAGTTAAAGCTCTCAGCTACTGCCCCAGCACCATGAGTGTCACCATACTCCCCACCATGATGATAAAGAATCAAGCCTCCGAAACTGTAAGCAAACCCCAAATTAAATACTGTCTTTCGTAAGAGTTGCCTGGGTCATGGTGCCTTGTCATGCCAATAGAAGAATAACTAAGACAGATTGACAAAGATCCTCCACATTTTTAAACAGAATAAACTATCAATGACTTTGGACACTTTTGTGTAAAACTGATAGTGTGTACAATCCAATTTTATTCAAAAAATTTGTCTGTTTTTACTTTCATTACCTCTGTGTGTGTGTGTGTGTGTGTGTGTGCGTGCGCGCATGTGTGCATGCGTGCATGTGTGCACACGCACACCATGGCAGTCAAAGAACAACTTCTGGGAGTCACTTCACTTGGTCAGAAAGGTCAAACTCAGGTCATTAGACTTGGCAGCAAGCATCTTTGCCCATTGAGATATTCTGCTTATCCCACCATTTTCTATTATTAAAATGTCATTAAAATAAAATCTTGAATGATTTAGCTATCTAGACTGGAAACAATTTATAAATACTAAGAACCATTCCTCTGTTGTCTTATATAAACATATTAGAGATAGACATCAGAACAAACCCACAACCAGTAAATTCCTTAAATTGGATGGGAAGTGATTCAGAACTTTCTATTTAGAGACCACAAAAGTATAAATTACACCACAAATCGATGGAGTTAAGAAAGAGCAAAGAGTAAAAGGCATATTTTCTTTTCTTCATTAATAAAAACTGAAAAGGTCATTACCTTTTAGTACAGTGACTCTGGATTCTTTTATTTAAACCAGAACTAAACAAAATTCACCATTCTATCCTTACGCCAGTTCTCCAACCCAACTTCTTGGAGAAACTCATGCTAAAGAGTTATTAACCAAAAACAAACAACAGCAAACAAACAAGCAAAAAAACTGACTCTATCCCCATACCCAACAGTCTATATGTCACCCTGGCTAGCATCGGAAGAAAGGAGCGACCAGTTAGCAGGGCGTTTCAGTCTCCTCTGTATGACGATCGTCAGTGCCAGCCCTCCTGCCCAGTGTGACACCAGGCTATAAAATCACAGCTTTCAAGCACAGCTATTTCCAGGAAGCCACTGGGGAAAATCAGAACTTAACTAGAAGTGTGATCACAGTACAAGGCAACGGTCTGACGTCTAGGTATCTGGGTTCTGGGACTCCTTAGTGATAAATGGCAGAAATCCAAGCTATGTAACTGCTCTAGCTCCCTTATGGGACAATTGGCAAGATGGAGATGTTGCATGTTGAAAATTGCCCAGCACCGGATACAAGGACATTTCTATTTCTAGTCCTTCCCAAGTATTTGGTGAACATTTTGAGACCCAGTGTAATGGCTCCCGTGGCTGCTAACTTGATTGTACCTGCAGCCAATGCAAACCGTGCTGCTGGGCATCCTCTGAGGGATTTCCTTAACCCTAGTATTTGAAGCAGGAAGACCCACTCTAAATCTGAAAGAAGGAAGCAGCTTTTTCCCTGCTTGCCCTCATTCTCATCATCAAGTTCACCTATCCTGTTACTGTGACATTCCTTTGCCTGTTTGGAACCAAATTCTTCAGGAGTCCAGTGTAGGCTGGAGACTAACAACTCTCCATGAATCCTCTAGGACTCCAGCACCAAATAGGGACGGCTGAGACATCCAACCTCCTGGACTGAACAACTATCAAATTCATGAGACAGCCATTGTCAGACTATCCAGTTACAACCTGTAAGCCAATCTAATAAATCCCATTATCATCTTCATCATCATCATTATTGGTGAGAGATTTGTATATGTGCACATATGTATTATATATATACATATATGTACATATATGTATATATATATCATATATCCAACCTATTCTATTCCTTTAGACAACTCTAACAAACCCAATAAATGCCACTAGGAGGCAGCAATAACACACAGAAAAACTTATCCATAGTTTCTCCGTCTTTCTGTGTGTGTGTGTGTGTGTGTGTGTGTGTGTGTGTGTGTGTGTATGTCCATTTACAATTAGAAATCAAAGGACTGCTTTTGGGGGCCAGTTCTCTCTCTGTAGCACATGGGGGTCCCAGGGATCAAACTCCAGTTGTCAGGCTTGGTAGCAAATGTTTTTGCCTGCTGAGCCATCTTAATCATTTGTTTTTAAGAGATATAACTAGATGAACTTAGCAAGGTCACAGGACCTAAGGTCAAGCATAATATATAAACATAGATCATGAGAATAAAAATTAAATTGAAAAGCTTTCTAAACAGCTTGAAAAAAAAAAGGAAATCCACTTTGTTAGCAGGACACAACCTAGAAGCACCTGGGAAGAGTCCCCAAGGCCGATCCTCTGCACTGGGGTGGCCTGTGGGGATGCCTGTGGGGATTGCCTTATTTAAGTTAATGGCCCATTGTGGGTGGCACCATTCCCTAGGCAGGGCTCCTGGACCCTGCAGGAGTTAGAGGCTTTAAATTGAGCACAAACAAATAAGCAAGCAAAGCTGCTGCATAGGTGCAGCTTTCTCTCTTCTGGTTGTGGATGTCGTGTGTCATGTGACCAACTGTACCCAGGTCCGGTCACGGTGACTTCCTTGCATGATGGATGTGCGTTGATATCAATCCTTCGTTCCTCGGCTGCTTTTATCACAACAGAAACAAAACTAGGACACACACTAGATTAAAAATGAAACAAAAAATCTCATTGCTATAACATATTTATGACTTAGGAAGGAGAGATGTACTCAGCGCTAGAATGTCTTAGTAATTGTAAATGGGCTCTTTTGAAGGTCTAGGTTTAATTATGTAAAGCAGGAAAATGTACAAATCAAGTTGCCCCCATTAAGGGTAATTAGAACTCAGATGTTGTCTTTCAGTGCATCTTTCTCCCTCAAACCTTCAGCTTTAGGTGATCAAATACTTAATAGCATAATGGGTTAAATGAACTCGGGAGAAAATATAAGTGTAGAGGGGAAAACAGTGTAAGATGGCAAAAGCAAGGGAATTAATTTATCTGATGATTAACTGCCATTTGCGTTGCTCTGCCGTTTCTTGCAGAAAACACACCAGCGACAAAGCACCCATGTGTGTATTGTTTGCTCTGATTGAAATACCCTTGAAATATCCTTGAGCACTGAATTAGCTACTTTTCTTCTTATTTCGGCAGAAAACATCAACATCAGGGAGGAAAGGCTTGTTATGGTTTCAAAGGCATCTCAATCTATCAAGGCAGGAAGCCCGGGCAGAATGGCTCTGTGACCCGAGGTAGGAGTAGGAGGCCTCTGCTTGTTCACACCACAACAGAAGACCCCAGTAAAGAAATTGCCCCTGTGAACAGACAAGTGTCAGATGCTGGACAGAACCGGCGGTGGGGGGGGGAACATCTGTTGCACCCATGGATTTAAACTGGGACCTAACAGCATGACTGTGCTGTTTGCCTTGCTCCCAGCCACACTCAACTGCTTGGGTGAAGGCACAGGGAAGGGAAGGAGAGCCTCGGGTGGGTTTGGCCAACAGATACGGCAGGGAAAAGAGGACGGAGGAGTAGGGCATACTCAGAGGAGTGACGCCAGAGCCAGATGTTGGACTGACGACGGGTAAGTGAAGGTCTTTTGGCATCATGTAAACAGAGTATCAAAGATTCCAGTACAGTTCTGGGGACCTGGAAGTTCATGCTTATTCCTTTGTGGCCATGATTCTTAAACTCAAGTCAGCATAAGAATTATCTGGAAACAATACAATCTACATCAATATAGATTTTGAACTTATTCTCAGGAATTGTGGGACACAGACTTTTTTTTCATTTTAGTGAGTAGATAGATGTGACTGTCTATAAACCAATCTGTAAAAACTATCCCATTGGAACAGGTTGGTCTGCTATTTGTTCTACTTGTTCCTTCACAGCCAGGAACCAAGGATGTTTTGAGTATTTGGATCTCTTGACATAACTAAAGCCACGGTACCACATGGAGTCACATGGTAATGACTGAGGCAATTCAGTGACTTTATTTTGCTCTTTCAGGTGGAGTCCTCAGACAAGCAGAGATACAAATATGACATCCAATTTTGTTTCTGAAAATGACTTCAGCATGGCTTCACGTCCCAAGCATCCGTTTTCCAGAAAGCCAGAGAACTGTGCTCTGTGGGAGGATGGGAAAAATGAACAAGAGACAGTCATTTCTTACATTTTCTAAAGAGCTCAGCCAAATCAAATACATCTTACATGTGTGTTGAATAAATTTAATCCTAGGAATAAAATCATTTCGTGTGAGGTCTCAGTGACGAGAGAGAAACACGGGCAAGGATAAGTGATTCATTTCCAAGAGGAGAATATGAAAGGTTTTATATAACTCTGGCAGACAAGATTAAAAGGGGGAAATCATATTCACCCTTTATTTACTTATTCCCTACGGCATCAATAGTGCTGCTTCTGTCTGAAGACCATAAGGAAAATCAGACTGAAAAAAACTATAGCAATGAAGTTCTGATTTTTAAATTAACTCCTCCTGGTGATTTCTCTACTGATCTGCAGTAAGTCCACTGCCCTTTGTCAGTCTTATATTTAACATCTCACTACACGTCTGTCCTCTTCTTGTATTTTGTTTCTGTGTGTATGCACACGAATGTGGAGAGCATACCTTGATGTTGGGTGTCTACCCCATCACTCTCCACTCTGGGTCTCTCCCTCACCCTGGAGCTCACTGGTTGGCTGGCTGGGCAGTGAACCCTAGAAATCTACTCTCTCTCTCTCTTCCCATTCTTCTGATCAGTCCTAGGGTTAGAGGCTTACTACCCAGCCCACCTGTGTTCTGGGTATCCAAACTCAGGCCCTTGGACTTGGGCAACAGGCACTTTACCAACTGAACAGTCTCCCCAGCCCAAGTGTGTCCATCTTTGGGGCAATAACAACCTATTCAGTAGGGTTCTAGCTATTTGTAATTGTGATAATGTCACTGACTGAGCACTTATCCTATGCCATGCATACTATTTTCAATGAATATTTATTATATTCAATTAGGGTTGGGATGGTGACTCAGTCAGTGAATGCTTGCTGCATAACTGTGGGAACCTGAGTTCAGATCCCAGCACCCTTGTAAAAAGTTAGGCATGGCCACACACAAATGCCTGTAATACCAGTTTTGGGATGGCTGGGGACAGGAGGATCACAGGAACTTGCTAGCCATCAGCCTAGCTCCAGATCAAGTGAGAGACCCTGCCTAAAAGGAATAAGGCAGAGGAGGCTAGAATAGGGTCTCTGGCATCTTTCACTAGCTTCTTTATGTAAGCACAGGTACACGTACCTTGACATTCACATAACACACACTCTCACACACACAAAATAAAATGCTTCTATCAATTGACCCAACCTTATGAGGTACATCTTATTAATCATTTGCACTTTCCTTCTCTCTCTAAGTTATAAATTCTCAGCCCCCACCCCTGCCCAGTTAGATCTATTCTCAGTTGTCTTCTGAGCTGTCAATACAGGATTATCAGTGTATTTGGAGCATATATAAACCCGGAGCCAAGAGTAACTTCAGTCTCTCTTTGCTTTTCATTCCCAGCAATAATGACTATGTTAGCCCTAAATCGGAAACCTAGGTTAGCATTCAGCTCTCTACGCTGACCAGGATCCACTTCTGAATAAAACACAAGCAACTAGCATCTTTCTCAAAAATATTTTGCCCTAATCAAACTTTGCCCTAAAGAATTCTTTTTAAATTAGACATTTCTGAAGGCAAGAAAAATATTATTGGATCTACAGACAAATTACCATCATTATTATCATTTTGCTAAAATTTGGAATAAAGAAGTAATAAATGTTTGCTTCATTCACTATTTCACAATGTTAATTTCCACACTAAACTCGGAATTACAGGAGATGGTACAATTCACCTGAACAGTCAGCAAGGAAACCTACAACCTCAAGGTTTAATGGAAAGTACTGGACAGCAAAATGTGTATGTAAGCCAAGATTCTATAAGCAGCTCTCTGCTTTATCTGACTTTTCCCCATCACAATCTTAAAAAAAAAAAGTCAAATAGATTTAGCTTCTAAGAGTCAGTCGATAGTATAAACACTGGTGATAGTGAGGGCCAAGGGGAAGTTCCAAGTAAACAGCCCCATGGGAATCTTACCCTTGAAACACTTGGGGATTTCGAGGGTGCCGTCAATGCACTGAGTTTCTTCGGTATAGCTGCACTTCTTCTCCTTATTTTTGCAGAAGAAAGAGACCTTGTCACCATGCTTCATTCCGTCCTTAAATTGTTCCTGGATCTTCACTCTCTCTCCTTGGTACAGCACTGTGGCCTTCTTAACAGATACTTTGCAAGATGCTGAAAGAGACCATATCGGTAGTCAAGGCAACAGTCCACGAACTCTTAGTCAAAGAGAGCATAGATGACTTAGGTTCAGTGGGATGGCTGAGAGGGTGAAGGCACCTGCCACCAAGCCCCCCGCGACCTGAGTTTAATCCACAAGGCCCATGTAGTGGAAGGAGAAGACTAACTTTAGCAAGTTGCCCTTTGACCTCCACACAGGTACCATCATGTGTGGGATCCCACATACATTTATACACAGACACATATGCACAAAATATACATAATCATTTTTTAAAAAAGAATAAAAACTTTTGAGTCAGTAGATGAGCGAAACTGAGATAAGCAGGCCAAAACAAGGGTTCTAAGAAACGTGTGATGTGCAATGTCAAGTTGGTTGATGACTGATGTTTCCTGTCCACATTTCTGCCCTTCAGTAACGGCATAAGGGCAAAGGAGCTCCTCGGCTGCCATGAAAGAGAACGTGATGTAAGCCTGAGCTGGCCTGCACTCAGATCCCCTTTATGGGACCACTACACCCATCAGTCAACCACCATGGCTATAAGCTGCTGACAGCTCACAGATGACTCCTGGTCAAAATTTGTTTCAGAGCCAGCAAGAGGCTCAGTGGATAAAGGCACTCGCCACCAAGCTTGATGAGTGGAGTTCAGTGCCCTTGATCGCACAGCAGAAGAAAAGAATCAACTCCAGAGTGCTGTAGACTGACCTCCACACACATGCGGGTCACGGTGTCTGTGCCTGTGCCTGCACACGGGCAGGCGCGTGTGTGCACAAACACACACATGCAGTAGAGAAAAAGTGAGAAAATTTTAGTTGCTTTCAGTTTATTTGTTTTACATATATGTCTGTGTGTATATATTCCTAAATATATAAATACAACCTGCTCAGTCCATATATTACTTGTATGTATATAATTTCAGAGCTGACCACTGGGTATTGGAAAGCTGACTGGGGTTAGGGACTCTTCCCTGGGGAAGAGAGGCTCTTTCTCCCACTTTCAACGCTCCGTAGTCACCTGTAGTTCTTAGTCTAGGGCTGAGTCCCTGGGAGATTTCCCACTGCTGGGACTATTGCCACCATCCTTGTTCAGGTCTTGTTCAGGATGTTAAGACTATAACATATCACATACATATATACATATATATGTGTGTGTATGTATATATGTATTTATGTATATATAATTATATATATATATTTATTTAAAGGAACTTGGTCAAAATGAAAGATCCCATTCTAGATCCATGAAATCAGAATCTCTGAGAACGGAGCCCAGAAATCTGTATAAAGACTAGCCCTCAAGGCTGTAGAAATGACTTAGTCAGTCAAGTGTTTGTCATATAAGCTTGAGACCTGAGCTCAGCACCCCCACATGTACCTACATAAAAACCTGAAGATGCAGACAGGCGCTTTGCTGGAGCTCTCTGGCCCACCAGCCTCCAGGTTCAGGAAGCAATCCTGTCTCAAAAAGTAGAGTACGAACTGATTGAGGAAGACACCTAACACTGACCTCTGGCATATACACACTTGTGTGTACACACCAGCAGGCACACATGCATACACCCATATATTCATGCATACACACACACACACACACACACACACACACACACACACGTCCCCAGGGGACTCTGATACAGAGCAAAGTTTGAGAACCAATGCCCACCCTAACTTCTCTGTCCCAATATTTTCTGAGATGCTGGCTTCATAAATCAACTGAACTTAAACCCCCGCCCCAGACTCCCAACCTATCACGCCAGTCATTCATCATTTTGTGTATGTGCCTGCTCTCCTCTTCTGTTTGAACAGTTCAGCTTAGGCGGAGATGGGGTGCTATACGGTCGGGCTTTACCTAGTCATTGCTTTATGTGAATCATGCCCTGGCAGGATTGAGGACAGATGCCCAACTCCAAAAATTTGACATCTCAGGGAAAGGATGCTGCAGAGATGCTAGCTGATGATGATGCTTTACCTTGTAGAATCAAGCCAAGTTCAAACGGGAGAGGGACTTGAGATGAGGCATGTTTTATCAGTTCCTCATTTGCATACTTTTTAATATAACAAGCCACGATTTCCTTGAACTAGTTTAGACGTATGATTGATATTTGTGACAAAGAGAACCTTGACAAAAAAAAAAAAAGGAGCCAAAAAGTGGGTGGAGTAGGATGCTCGGACTGCAGATACGGCTCCGTGGTGGAGAACATGCACTGCTCTTCCAGAGTTCAGTTCCCAGCACTTGCATCAGGTGGTTCACAGCTGCCTCTAACTCCAGCTCCAGGGAATCCAACCCCAGCCTCTGTGAGCACCTATATTCACGTGCACATACCTCACCCCCACGCGAATTCACACAAATCTAAACATAATAAAATAAATATTTTTAAAGGGTACACATGAGTAGATTTAAGAATAAATACAGGCAGAAACCATAGTATTCCACCATATTATCAATGCTTCAGAAAATCCGTGTAGTTCCTATAGCTAGACTCTAAGTAACTTTCCTAAGCAGGAGAACTCTCTGTGTACTATTGAGCCCTTAGGACTTTTACATGTCAATGGCTGTGAAGTCAGTCTGAGCAACAAGGAGAGAATAAACAGAACGAGAAAATGGCAAACAAGAGTGATGCACGGGACGAATTCAGTCCTTGGCAGGACCTCACTCACACGCCCTTACCTTTACAGCTTGGCTGGGCGGACCAGGTTCCCATCTTGGTGCATTCCACTTCCTCTGGGCCATCCAGACTGTATGTGTCATGGCAACCAAATGTGGCTTTATCCTGATAATGAAGCACGGACTTTGCAGGGTAATTCACGAACCCATTGTCTGGCCTCG